GTCCCCACTGTTTCCTTTCTTCTGTTTGCTGGAATCAGAGACGAGCCGCCATTTTACTCACCATAGGTAACATTAACTGCACAATTACATCATGCGATCACCAGAAAAAGTATGATAACTTTATTATTTTTCGTCTCCGGTCCAAAATTAGGGTATCGTTGAAGTCGTCTCGGTCCCCTCAGTTCAGATAGATACTCAAAGTCCCGAAATTTCATAGGTGGATATCTATATAATAATTTCCCTAATTGTATTAATATTTTAATTCGTTTGATTTTTTGTGTTTTTTAATTGGTTGATGATTGATTCTATTAACTAATTTGTCGATTGTTTGATTGTATTAACTTGATTCTTTAGATATCGAAAATTAAATAAAGAACATTATGTTAATTTAAGCGTACAGAAACGTTGCTGTTGTTTCAGCAAAGATTTTATTTTCACTTTACCGAGTGGCTAGTAGGTAATTTGCAGATTACCTAGGTAATTTGAGAAATAGAACAATTTTAGCAACTTTAACGGATCACGCTAGTTAATCTGCAGATTAGCGAGTTTCCGAGCTTTAGCGGTAACAAATATATGATCAAGTTGCACGAGTCAATGGACAAATATCATTCATTAGTTTCTTTTGTACAGTATTTACAGAATAGGCTAGAAGTCATGAATTTGTTGTTGTTAGTTGATAATAGAATTTGGGGCTTCTTTGGAGATTAGGAAAAAGGCAACGCAGACGAAAAGAGGGCACGTGCTCTAATGTACTGTTGCCCGTTTACGGTGATGTAAAATTATGAAGAGGACCCCCAAAAGGTCTTACTGTTATCTCCTCGATTAAACATTAAATTGACAAAACTCAGCATGTCAGAATAATAAAGTTATTTTTAATTTATACTTATCCGAATTGAACAATTTACACAATTAAAATTATATTTAAAATAATATAATTTCTTCGAAAACACTGAATCTTTTGCTTACTTACTACCGTATTAAATAATTTACACATTTAAAATATCAAATAGCTTTTGATTAAGACATTGCTTACAGGTTACTTTGATAGAAAGACATCACTTTTTCTTTTTGGTGCAAAATAGTAAGAGCAGACTTTTAGTATAATAAGTGTATATATATATCGTGCTTTTTCTTTTATAAAAAATTATATAAAAAATTTACATCTTTTAAATAACCAGCACCAAAATATTACTTAAATTCACACGCAAAGTTTTATAATTACAAACGAAAGCTACCGGAATTTCTAATACTGTATTTTAAAAATAATCGACACATTTAACAATTGATATAATATAGCACATCTGTGTATATGTATTTATATATAATTACTGTATATTTTATATAATAAAAACTATTTATATAAGAACACTCTATTACTAATTATTGACTGGTCCTAAATCGTAATTGAAATAAAAATAGGACTTATATAATTACATTGGAACAAAATAGGTGCCAAACACTATACAAATAATCCTTAAAATGTACATTTTTATGTGAAAAAGCAAAAAATCTGGAATGATTTTTTGGTGCAGCTGAATTGAAGAATGGAAGATTATATTTACATTGGCTAATTTGAAATTTCGTTCTTATCCTGATAGGAAAATTAGCGAAAATATAATAGCTACAACTTTAATTTTTTTTACGTTTTTTTACAATATTCAGTTTAATTAATTATAAAAAAAACGTTCATAATGTACTTTTCTTACATTTTCATAAGAAAATTGATCGACTGACTTATCTGAAATTAAAGCTGCAACACTGTACAAATATATTTTGTATGATTAAATTAAAGCAATATTTATAAACAAATTCAATATAATTATTTATATTGATATTCCTTAGACATTAATATACTATTTATTAATTTAATTGATTTAAAACATAATTGCCTATATTATTTTCATAAAGTAATTGGATAAAAGAATTAGAGGTGTGCAAGTATATTTATTTATTTAATCAGTCAAAGTTCTAAATTACTATTGTATATTTTATTTCAGAGCTGTATCTAAATAGGATTTTATATTGAAAACATTGCCTATATTTTGTAATCATAATTTAACAGTACTGTAGTTAAATTTGTTTATTTTCCCACACTTGAAGTAATTCCAAATATTAAATTATACTTTTATATGAAAGATAAATAATTCAATAACTTTAGTGTATGCTTAATATATTGCATTTCAAGAGCTTTATTAATTTTAGTAGATATGACTTGATTTCTCTTCATTTTCAATACTCAATACTTGCACATCTCTAAAAACTTCTACCAGAGTATTGGCTTGATTTATGCATTTCAACAAATCATTAATTAAAATTATAATTCAAAAAACAAACTGATTAAAAATTATCAAACGAATCAGCATTTTAATATACCATAGATATTTGTTTTATAAATTGGTAAAATTTCTTTATTAATTTTAGTTGGAAATACAGTGGAACCTNGCATTACTCTCTATAGCTTGGAAAATTATCAACAATAATTTATTTGTATTACAAAAATTTATAAAATTTACATTTAATAAAAATTATTCTATTATGATTTATTTTAAAAACTCTTTAGAAAATGTGCCAAGTTGGAGAATTTTTTTTAGCACCCGACTTAGGAAGCCCATATGCAAGGCCTTAATCAAGGTATGGAATTAAATATTGACTTTGTGGTTCCGCACTGTCGGTCGGGTTTCCCATCTCTACCTTGGAAAAACATTCGCATACTTAATAATTATTATTTTTTAAATGTATATTAAAATGTGGGATTAATAAATATACAAATATAATACATTACATAAATTCCTGAATATTTATATGAAGGTATAGCTCCTGAAAAAACTGATAATGTACTACAAGTAGCAGTTTTTGGAGTACTGCTACCATAATTCATTAAACAAATATAATCTGATTTACAAATAATTATATCTATAGGACAAGAATAAATAATAATAAGAAAGATAATTTATATATCATTTACAATATATAATAAATAATAGAACTTGTGCACTCTATTTGGTCATTACCAACTGGAATGCAAACTGACTCATAAATTTCTCATCTGATATAAAAAGTGACATATAAATAATTTTTATGAAGATATATTCTGCACTGGCATTGATAGAAACCAACCAAGCAAATAACTATGGTGATTTTTGAACTTGTAAAGTATTTTAGGATGATGTGAAATTCTTTGAGCATGCTAATTTTTCTTATATGATGTAATAAGTCCATTCTATTTTGATATATATCCAAAGGATTTCCCTATTATAAAACTCTCAAATGAGAGAATTAAATATTAAGAAACTCAATAAGTTAAATTTATGATCATCCATCCACGTTCGCATTATGTTGCAAAGGTGAAACGTCGGATACTTCGAGATTTCCGGAATAATGGTAGTCTGGATTTTCGGATGCTTCGACAGAAGACGACCACGTGGCGTTGCTATTAGGAGTTGTGAGATCGACATGCTGACTACCATTACTATTGCTAACAAACATGGTGGATCTCTTACAAGGTAGTGGAGGAGGTAAACCGGAATCATCTTTGTAAGAAGAAACGGTTGAGTGTGAAGGACTCGTAGGTGTCGGAAGTGGTGATGTGTCACGAATATCATTCCCTGTTGGCACATTGAGGCTGTCTTGGGTTGTGGTGGATGGAATGGAATACTGAAAAAGTACACAAATACATTAATAAAAATATTATAGTATAAAGATTAAATATCAGCCATCTTTTTAATCTAAACTATATTAAAATCTATTAATCAAATGATACAGTCAGATTCTTATCAGGCTTAACCAGTACAGGGGTGTAGCCATGGTGGGGCAGAGTGAGGCTCTTGCTCCACCCTGGCTCATTTAGTCAAATGAAAAATTATAGGTCAATAGGTTATAATAGTATTGTGTGGCAAGAAAGCAAGTTTGAATTGTGGCTGGAAGACACTATCATGTTGGTCAGTGATGGGAGTGCTCTCTGGTGAACGAGAAGGGAACTGGCAGTTTAAGATCTGGATGGTCTATGATAAGACTAACATTATAGAATGTTTAAGGTTCGGATTTAGCAGGAAAGTTCTAGTACCCTCTGTTCCCATTTTAGCACTGCAATCAGTGCTAGTGAGTCAGTTGAGTGAGTTGACGCATTTGAGCTTGTTCAGAACATAGCGAGCGAGGTTTATTTGAAACATCATTGTGTCCATGTGCAATACTGAATTTCTTACATTGTTTTAAATTAATAAGTGCTGTATTTACTTCTATTGTATGTTGTAAGCTGAACTTTGGTACTACAAATGGAAAGAAAAAATGTGCCAAATGCCAAACTGAAGGAGATAGAACTAGCTGCACTAGTTAAAGAAACACAATTGTTCTACCCATCCATAAAATGAGCGCTATTTATCTCACTTGCATAGCCCTGCACAATGTGCACTATTGAAAGATCCTTCATTACCTTATGCAGGGTAAAAACTTGGATACCCTGCATAAGGGTATCCAAGTTTTTACCCTGCACAGTCAACAATGACAGAAAATCAGCTTATTGGACTTTGTATGATGAGTGTGCATAAAAAGAGGGTCCTGGAAGCTAAAAATAAATTTGAGAAAGAAATTTTGACAAAATTTACCCAGATCTCCCGTAGGCTAGTGCTGAAATAAGATTTAGATAGTTCAAATAACATTGCAACTAATTACTTTTAGCATTTTCAAATGTTCATATAAAACCATTTTTTAATAAACAATGTTATCTTATTTTTGTCCCCCTGGAGAAAATCCTGACTATTTCCTTGAACCAGTATATATCTTTATTAAACAATAGAAAAAGTATATGTAATAACATGTTGTGCAAAATATTTGCTATAAGTTTGTTTTTATTTTAAACGAATAGAAAGTAATTAAGAGAGTTATGTGCAAAGTTTCATTGTTTTTATATCTATATATGCCTATAAATACATTATAATAAACCCAAAAATTTTAAGGAATCATCAACATATATTTTACTTACTTTCTTAATTTAATTCATTAAATGCACTTGAATGAAAATTGATGATTATTTTTACTAATTCATTTCTTGTCATTCATTGATGGAAAGAAATAGAACTAAACTAGCCCATTTGATATTTTCAGTTTCATATTTTGTTACTTTTTAAAAAATAAAATCAGTCTATAAGATAAATGTTCAAGTTTCATCTTGGGTTAATTGAGTTAACTGAAGTTGGCACTGTTGTGAGAAAACAACACTCCTATCCAGTAAGCCAGGTCATTTTTTAAATTGCTATGCAAAACTGTGACAGTAAGAATTGGCATTCATATTTTGATCTTGCTTTTAGAAATGAACTAACAGTACTCCTGTGAATCTCAAAACACTATAAGCATAACCTTCCCAGCTGATGGCATCACCTTCAACCAAGAAAATCAAGGTAAAGATGGGTTTTTCTATTACAATTAAATACATTTTGATTTGGGTTGGTAGTGATGCACCCATGTTTCTTCTCCAGACAGTAACAATCTTATTAAGCATGTCTTGTCTTCACAGTGAGTGAAATGGTTCAAGGACTTTGGTTCTAGGTACCAACATCCACACACTTTCCAATAATTCAAACAATCATGCATTACAGTGTAAATTAAATCATGAGAACACTCCAGCATAGTGATCACAGTTTAAGAACAAGAATGCAAATATTCTACTGCCAATTACAGATGTATTCAGTCATTTTTCTTACAAAACAAAAGATTTTATAGCATTTATTATAAATACTACAAATACATAATGTATAGATATTAGATATTCAATAAACATCAAAAACAAATTATATCAGATTTTTGTGTGTTTTAGAAGTCAATTTTATAATAAAGCTTTACTTTGTGATTTCCTAAGAATTTAGGTTGTTTTTAAATCTATATATACAGTGATACCCCGAACTTACGCGATAGGTGGGACCGAGCGATAACCGCGTAAGTCAAATTCGCGTAAGTCGGGGTATAATTTCGCAATTTGTGTAAAATCCAAATTCGGATGTATGTAAGCTAATAAATGTTCTCGTTAATCTTATCACGTTTTTTGATTTATTCACAGTTACAAGAAATCACCATATAGAGTCTCTCAAGTCTCCATAGATATAACAAACACAAAAATAAATAACGCAAACTACATAGTAACTATGCGTCAATTCCGTGCGATACATCCGAACATGTAAGCTAAACAATAGTGTGAGGGGAGTGAGTAATCAAGAGTTGCATGGCGCTCAAACAAAAGACGAATCGACGAGATTTGAAAATCGCGTAACTCCAGGTTCGCGTAAGTTGGGGTAGCGTAAGTCGAGGTATTACTGTATATATATATATATATATATAAATGGACGTGTATGTCCCTATATTTCACTTTTCAGCCAAAACTACACATCGCACATGAATGGTGTTTGTATGTGGTAGTAGCCCCAAGTCTCCATTCGTGCACTATAGTGGTTGCGTCTCAATAGCTATAAGGGTGCGGGAGATATGGCGGCTTAAAGTGGTTGACTTTAAAGATTTTCTATTTTGATTTAAAAAATGTTCGAACCGTTTTAAATTTGAATTTGTATTCGAATTGATTTGATTATAGAACGATTGTAAACGTTCCAGAAAATTCATCAAATTGAAAATAGTTCGTTTGACTGGACGTAAAAATTCTCTGATTAGTCTGGAAACAGGGGACCTAATTCTTGCATTCTGTGCTATAAGGGTGTGGGAGATATGAGGTTGAAAGTGGTTGACTTCGAAGATGTGTAACAATGGAAGTGTTAACAGTGGAAGTGTTAACAATGGAAGTGTTAATATAAAGCGGCATGCAAGATTTACAGGCAGTTTTTTGCATTTTTGCAGGAAATTGAACATATTTTTAGACTCATGTAAAAATTCTCTAATTAGTCTGGAAACAAGGGACCTAATTCTTGCATTCTGTGAAAACGGGTAAGATTGGCTATAATGTAATTATCTTAATCTTCACTATCATTACTTTTTGCCCAGCGAAGCGGGTCCTTGCAGCTAGATTCTAGATTACTTAGAAAAACAGTCTTTTATATATAAAAAGAACTATATTACATACAAATAAAAACCCAGCAAAGCGGGTCATTGCAGCTAGTTTAATTATAAAAATCATATAAGTACTAAATTTACAATAAAAATAAATTTCAAAGCATTTTCTTTAAAAATGTGAAATATTCATTTTGTTTGCTCTTAATTTTAAACATGGTAAATAGCATTTCATTAACTGTAAATAGCAAATAAATTAAAATGAATATTTCATTTTATTTGTTATTCATAGTTAATGAAATGTTACTTACCATGCTTATCTTTTTCATCAGCAAGCATTTAACCATTTCTTACAGATTTCATTTTATACTTGAACTGCCAGTTTTTGATAATTCATGCATCCACATACAGCACAAATTACCATTTTTAGCAACATTTTACCACTATTTTAAGTAAGTTTGTCACTATTTGCTGATTCTGACATTTACGCTAATTTTGTATTAAATTTAAGCAAAATGAAAAAATAATACATTGAATACATCAATTTTAATTTGTTTGGAAAGTGAACCAACTACACAGCTATGATTTGCAACACAGACAAATTTGAGAAGAGAATGTGGCATACCTGTCTATTGGTACAGTATCATGAACTAAACTAGGCCAGAAAATTATGTGTGTAGCATGGGTTATCAACTGTCAATCACGTGATGCACTTTCTAAACAAATTCAATCACAGGTCATGATTTATGATTTAATAACAGACATAAAAAAATCAAGGGAGAAGTAACTACGCAGTAGTGATATGATGTCACTTTTTCAATGGTTACCAGGCTGGTCTTTACTAGAGTGGCCAACTTTCAGAGTAACAAATTCCAAAAAAGTACCAACTTAAAGAACATGATGAGCAAAATATTCCCTTGATGGCTAAGGTAGTTAAGGCATCACCTACTGCTCTGGGGTCCCAGGATCAAATCCAGGCAAGCAATTTCAGGAAGTTTCATGAGAGGTCTGTTACAGATATATCAGGCCCAGTCTTTCACTACCCTGCCATGAAGAATCTGGCCAAATCCATGAAAAGTATGATTAAAACAATAGGTTTCTTTTAGTACCTATAGGGCAGAAAGAAAAATGGACAAAAAAAGCAAAGTGGTGGAAACAAAAATAATTCTGATTACAATTAGGTGTGTCAACTTCTCATGAAAGAAAAGGGACCAACTAAACTACATAGAATGCCTCATTCATTTTTCTGAACATTTTCAAACTGTTTTAAAACTGAAATTTCAAACAGTTAATAACAGTAGTTTTCATTGGCAACTTTTGAGCATCCCCCAAGGAAAGTTATCAGCCCAGTTGTATACTACATTGTGACAAACACATTTCCTTTATAAGATTTTACCCACAAAAAATGCCTGGCAACACTTCAAGCAAGGTTGCCATTTTGAAATTATGTTGCATGCTCATGTCCAGCTCAGTCTGTTACACTAATTAATCAAGGTGGATTGTATTGCCAAATAATGACACTTTCAAAAATTATTAATTGCCATTTTTGGCTATTATCAGTTTGTGATGTATTTACTAACTTTCCCTCATATACTTACAGTCAAACCCCTGTTCCAATGTTAAGGAAAGTTAACAACCTGACCAATCAACAACAGGACTACTGAATCAGT